TAAGACTGAACACCTGAGGAAGTTAGTCCGTCAGGATCAGGAATGGGTATGGGGTGAGGAACAAGAAGAGGTGGTGGCAAAACTGAAAGAGGAATTCCGAGAAGGAGGGTTGGTGTTAGGAGCGCCAGATTATGACGCCACAAAGATGCGAATCTTCATTGTCGAAACGGATGCGGGACCGACCGCCTTACGGGGAGTTCTAATACAGACAGACATGGAAGGAAAGGAAAGGCCCTTGAGATTTGAGAGTCGGACTCTCAGTACAACAGAGAGGAACTACTCTCAGTTCAAGAGGGAGACCCTTGCTGTCCTCCACTGTCTGCGAATCTTCCGGAACTATGTCTTCGGCAAGAGATTTATTTTGAGAGTGGATCCGACCGCCCTGGCCTACTCTCTAAGGAATTACGTCCCATTGGATCCGACGATTGTCAGGTGGCTGACGTACATCTGGATGTTCAATTTCGAATTAAAACGGATTCCTGGTAGTAAGAACCGGGCAGACGGGCTGAGTCGGATCAACTGGGATAAGCAGGAAGGGGAGGCGGTGGAGAATACGCCCCCAGTTGATGGATTTCTGGATCAGGAAGAAGATGTTCGTCTCCATATCAATAAGTGGTCGCCGCGCGTGCCCAGCTGTGTAGGCTATCCTATTTGGCAAGCGCCGAGCGGATATGAAAGGAGGACCGAGCTGGTCCTCAAACCCTTTAAAGAAGAGGATCCCTGGGGCGGTAAGGATGTTCAGTGGATGATGGAATTAGCGCTGGCCAGCTCGCATAGCCTGGTGGAGGATATGAGGACCATTGAGGAAGGACCTGGCCAGGTAGAACGACATGAGGACCTGATGGGAGCAATGTATCTCCTCGTCAGTACGTTATTGCAGGAAAGCCTAGACCAGTCAGGCTCGTTGAACCCGACAGGGAATGTAGACGAAATACCCGAGAGCAAGGACGACGAGTTCGAGGAAGGGGAAATTAAGGAAGTTTTTCGTGCAGAGGAGTACGACGGGATCTACCTAGAGCTGGGGCTTCTTCTGTCATGTGAAATGCGGCTAAGAGATGCGAGCGATAGGGCTCAAAGGATGCTGCAGCGCTACTTAGTGCGAGACGGTCACCTTTTCGTGAGAAGGGAAATGGGGAATCCCAGGAGAGTCGTCTATGGTAGGAATCGTCAGATCGACGTCGTAGCAGCGCTTCACGATGGTATTGCAGGAGGACATCGAGGGGTACAAGCCACGTATGCCAAGATAAGTGAGTTGTACTACTGGGATGGGATGATGGATATGGTCGGAAATTTCTGCCGATCTTGCGTACCTTGCCAGGAAAGATCCTGTTTTAGGCAAGGAGAGTCGCTGCATCCCAGGCTAGAGCGAGAGGTGGGGGTTGTAGTGCATCTCGATCTCTTTTTTATACCACTTGGGGATCAAGGCTATAACTATATCTTCGATGCGCGCGATAACCTATCTGGGTTCGTAGACGGGCGTGCTATTCGCACAAAGACCGGGTCAGTCCTGGTGAGCTGCATCGAGGAGTACTACATGCGTTATCCCTTCGTCAGGGAATTCGTAATGGACAGGGGATCAGAGTTTACCTGCCAGGAGGTGCAAGAACTGTTATCAAGGTATGGTGTGGCAGCCAACTACACCACGACCGCGCACCCCCAGGCAAATACTCCCGTAGAGAGAGGACACAGTACCATTGCGAATCTCCTGGCCAAATGGACCGAAGGTAGGCCTAATCAATGGCCAAGATACCTAAGGGTGGTTTTCTTTCTCGAGAACATTACAGTAAAGAGATCCACCAAGTACGCATCTGCGACGCTGTGGTACGGAAGGCATGCCACAATCCCTATCGAAAGCTTTCTTAAGACATGGAGGCGCCAGGATCTGGAAGTTAACCTGTCATTTGAAGAATTGCTCAATATTCGAGCGCGGTAGGTTGGGGCGATAAAAGAAAGGATTCAGGAGGCATCTGATCAGGTGGCGAGAAGCCATATGAATGATAAGGCTCGATGGGATCAGTCCGCGCGAGTGAGAAAAGTACCCTTGGCAGTTGGGGATGTCGTGCTTCTTTACGATACATCGCTGGAGAAGCAGTGGTCCAGGAAGCTCGATAAGAGGTGGTTAGGTCCCTACCAAATCGCACGGGTCGGAGACTTCGGAGCGTACCAGATCGAGGAGTTAAATGGGACTGAGTGGAAGGATTGGGTATCTGGAACGCGACTGAAGAAATTTGTGGCGAGAGAAGAGGTAAGAGAGATGACTATGACCGCCTTTAGAATAGGAATAACAGGGTGTGTAGGTTAGGAAGGATACATGCTGCATGAGTGTGGTCTGGTCTGAGCTTACTCTGATTATCACCTGCTTGCTTACCCCAATGTGTATCTGTTGTCTCCTTCGCCTGTTGTGCAGGTCTGACTTTACGAAGACAACCATGCCAAGAAGAGGGAAGGGGACACGGCCGCCTCAGAGGCCGTTGGGCGCGTCAGGAGGATATGAGCGGCATGGGCCTCGCCATCGAGAGAGTACTCCAGTCTACAATGATGGAGACATCGAGCTATTCCTGGATAGTTTCTGGGAGCATGCGAGGCGTATGGGCTGGACCGTCGCTCAGGCGATTGAAAGATTGAGGGGAGCAGGTAGGTTCGAAGAACCCATTGCCAGGATTCGTAGGGAGGCGACGACGAGGCAGGAGGTGGAGATGAGGATGGAGGAGTTGCGACCCTCGCCTGTGGGACCTGATGGCAGGCCGATCCGCCTCAAGATTGGAAATCCGTCGAACTTCATCCCCGCGTTTGAGTGGTTCATGCAAGGGCAGGGCATACTGAGAGATGATTGGATTCAGACGCTGCCACTCTGGACCAGGAAGGCGGAAAGGCCACTGGCTATGCAGATCAGAGACATGGCACGAGATTGGGAGAGCTGCAGGGCACATTTGAGAGAGGCCTTTCGACGGTCAGAGCTCCCTCAGCCCAGAGTCGAGAGGCGGCAGAGGAGTCAGAGGCCGAGGGACCCTGAGCCCAGGGAGGCGAGACCATCTTGAGGAGGACGGAAGGCCCTAGCCAGGAGAGAGCAGGAGCCAGAGGATGAGGAGCGAGGGGCATACCCTGAGTGTGGGTTGGGGCCAGTGGAGTTCCATCGTTTTACTGAGGGTGGATTGAGGARGTCGCCAGCACACACACAGGGGGAGCCACCAGCGTCAGAGGGGCCCTTGAGAAAATTGGAGATGCATTTAGACATTTCTCAGTGGAGGGCGTCGCTTCAAGGTGAGGAGTATGGAGAGCAGGCAGAGAAGGTGCCACGAGAGGAGGTGTCACAGGGGGAGATACCACGAGAAGAGATGCCACGGGAGGAGGTGCCACAGGAAGAGGTCCAGGGTACTCAACGAGAGAGAGGGTTGGGTGATGAGGGGAGGCGTGCATGGAAGGAAGTGATAGAAGTTGGAGAGGATACGCCCCCACAGACGCCAGCAGTGGGTTTGAGACTCGGGGGTGCACCAGGGAGCACCCGGCAGGCAAAGGAGGGGTTGCAGAGAGAGGAGACCCCTTTACCTTCGTAAGAAAAGGCTTCTTCGCCAGAAGGGAGGGCAGAAAGGAGGAGAGAGAGGGCAGCTGTAAGGAGAGAAACTTTGATCCTGATTGATAGGCACCTAGCAGCTCATGCCCTGGAGCACCCAGACCTGGAGGAGCCAGCACCTGCAGAGCCACACCAGGAGTCATGCCAGCCCGAGAAGGAGATGGAAGCAGAGATCCCAAAGAGGGTCGACCTCCGCACGAGGAAAAAAGTGTCAGCTGGAGAGACGGCTCAAGAAAAGAGGGCGAGACGAACCAGGCGGATAGATGA